GCAGATGTGCGTATGCTGAGATGTCTGGTCAGGTTGATAGATAGACAAGCGAATGGGAAGATAGATAAAGAAGACAAAGGAGGCACACCAAAATGCCAGGGAAAGAGAAGAAATTTGAACTTTCCACAAAATTGTCCCAACTCAAGTTAGTCTCTTCTGGAATGCGTGTTCCCCGAGTCATGTCTCACGCTGCCTTTCCAAACGTGTGGTGGGCGAAATGGCTGAGGAGTAAATCTCGCCTCAGACCTGAGGCAATCAGGTGGACTGACCGCCGGGCAGACGGACAGACTAACCGACACACATACAGCCAGCCGGAGCGAAGGAGAATAGAGGCACACGGACAGACAGGGAGGGCTGGAGGCAACCGCCTCAGGGGAATAATGTTTGGGGAAATTTTAAAAGGTAGCTTCGAGCCTGTGCGATGGCAGTTTAAGATTATACGCCAGAAATGCCTTCATTCTGGCCGCGCCGAGCAGGACAACTGAAGGCGAGACACTGGCGTCCCGGGGAGAAAAGTACCCGAACCCGGCCAGCCCGCCACCAACAGCAGCAAAACTGGCTAGCGGGGTTTGGTGGAAAGCTGCATCCAGTTCATTTTGCCCATCCCACCACCAACAAGGGGTATGTGAAGAGAAAGAGAGAGAGAGAGTGGTGCGGGTGAGGAGACGAGCAATAACTGATTGGAGCAGCTGCTGACAGAAGAACAAGACGAAGCAAGTCAACCTAGTTCCCCAGACGGTAAGGTGGCGCGGAGGTGAAACGACATGAAGTCAAAGAAGAGGAGATGAGTCGAATCTAAAGAGCATAACTTAACTGGCGATAAACGGCTCTGGAAAGAGCCGACCGAGGGCATGAGAAGGAGAGGCAGAATGGAGGGGGGAATGGGACAGAGTTGGGACAATTTACGCCAACATTGTCTGCACCACAGCCTCAGCCGGCAAGCTTCGCGAACTCTTCTCGACTCAACTCACACTTTGGTCCACCTAAAAGAGACTGACGTCTGCGATACGCAGGCTTCAACAATCGGCAGGCAGAATCAGAGTTATGAGAACTCAAGGTGCATTAAACTGTCAAATTTCGGCTGAGGACAAGTGAAGGCTTGAACAGGAAAGAGGGAAAGAGGGAAAGTGATGTAGAACAGGAGGTGAAGGTCGGTGCCAATCAGCATCGTTTGCGAGGCCAGGCATGTCGCGATTCGACGAAGATACAAGTTGCAGACAAATTTCTATCTTTCCTTCAGTAACAGTACTTCATTTGGAGCATCACTTGGCGCCACCAAGGACCTGCAGATTTTTGTAGACGAAACTGTTTCATTGTATAACTGTGACTGTGTGATGAGCAAATTCGCTGGACAAACCCACCAGAAGACGAGAGATGATCTCCTTTGGTTTGATGCCGCCTGTTTACACTAGGGCCTTTAGACTAGCATAATCCACGAAACATCTTTGTGCGGTTTCGATGAAAACGACATTAAACATGGCATTAAAGCTCAGATTTGGACATCCTAACGACTCCAAGCCAACATCGAGTCAATAAATCTAGCCGGTAAACCTATTTAATGAGGTAAAAAATGATCTATGCGAGTGAGTGATTGCTTATGTTTATGCCTGCGTGCGTGTTTGTTTATGCGGGTAAATAACGACCAAGCTTTGCCTCTTGTCTAAAGAAGGTATATCAGCCCGAATGCATAAGTTCGGACGTCGTCTAGCTGAAGCAATGTATGTGTTATGTACTCGGTCGCAAATAGAGTATGCAGATATTGTTGGTCAC